GGCCGGCACCCAGCGACCAAACGGGCGCGCGCTCTGGCGAGTCCGCAGCCGTCGCCGGCGGGGGCGCTGCCGCTCGCCGGCGCGGTGCCCTTGCTCATGCCGCTGGGCGCGTCGGGGGCGGGGGGCCCGCTGCCGGTGCTGATGCCCTCTGTCGCAGCCGCGGCCGCGGCGATGGCCGGCGGAGGGATGCCGCCAATGCAGCAGCTGCAGCTGACGCAGCCGCTGCCTGGCCTGATGCTTGCCCGGGCCGCGTCGCAGCCGGTGGCCAGGTGGGGACACTTGCCACAACATCCTTGTGGTCTTAGGTTTGCTGCATGATTGCCTCCCCAGAATCTCCCCGCCGCCAAACGCACGCTTGCTCACACACAGACACACGCATCACACACACGCACACTCATGCATACACACAGTTACTTGCACATGCGTGCGCGCACGAATGTGAAGGCCAAGGCACACACACACACACACACACACACACACCACACACACACACACACACACACACACACACGCACACACATGCACTCTCCCTCCCTGCCTCACGCCCCGCACTCCCCAAAGGAGTGCCACCTACGATGTTCTTGGGGAGGTGCTGAAGGACGAGTTCGTCGACGGCCTCTGCAGCCTGCTGGTCATCATCGCAAAAGAGGAGGGCCAGCGCCATGACGCCGCGTCCGCAAACGGCCAGCAGGAACAGCAGCAGGAGCAGCTGCACGAGCAGCAGCAGGAGCAGCAGCAGCAGCAGGAACAGCAGCTCCAGGAACAGCAGCAGCGGCACCAGGAACAGCAATCCCAGCAGCAGCAGCAGCAGCAGCAGCAGCAGCAGCAGCCGCAGTCTGACGACGGAGGCGCAGAGCAGCAAGCGTCAGCGATGGAGTTGGATCAAGGCGGCGGCTTTGGCAGCAGGGACGCTGGTGTGAAGGACGAGCAGTTGCTCAATGGCGGCGGAGCGTCGGTACTCTCCGAGGAGCAGCAGCAAGAGCAGGAGGAGCAGCAGCATGCCCTGGATATCCACGCGGCACTAGCGGCCGCGCAGGCCGCAGTGCAGGCCGCCAGCGCGTCGCAGGGCGCAACGGACCAGCTGCCGCCGCTGGTTCCTCCGGGACAGGTGCGGCCCTGGCCCCTGCTGCCATCACCATCTCCCTTGCAGCAGCAGCCGCAGCAGCAACAGCACCAACAGCAGCACCAGCAGCACCAGCAGCCTGTGAGCGACCGGTACGCGGCGCAGGAGTTGGCGGTGCTCTCAGAGTTTCATTCCATCCTGCAGCGCGTCATGGGGATCACGAAGAAAAAGATCACCGAGCAGCAGCAGCAGCAGCAGCAACAACAGCAGCAGCAGCAGCAGCAGCAGCAGCAGCAGCAGCAGCAGCAGCAGCAGCAGCAGGAGCAGCAGCCAGGGCTCGCCTCGCCCCAGGGCGAGGCACCCGCGTCTGGTGACGCCGCGGGCGGCGGCGAGCAGCCGGCGGCGCCGGCGCTGCTGCCGATGGCAGGGCTGCCGTTCCTCTTGCCAAACGCGCACGGGCAGGGGGTGCAGCAGCTGCCGCAGGGGCAGGCGCTGCCGATGCGGCCAGGGATGTTCCCGCTGCCGCTGCCGCTGCCGCTGCTGCACGCGGGGATGCTCCCGGGCCTGTCCGACTTGATGGCGGCGGGCGGCTTCACGCTGGCGCCGCTGGGCACGCAGCCCGGGACCGCGCACGTCGGCGCGGGCGCGCAGCAGGGCGAGCAGGGGGCCGTGGCGGGACCGGGGGCAGGCGCCGTGCAGGCGCTTGGGCAGGGGACTTGAGCAGGTGCACGGTTTTGCCGCTCCAAGGGGCGTGTATTTGGTTGCCCCGGCAATGCGATTGTGCATTGTGGATATGCCAGTTTGACGCGTGTCTGTGTGCGCTTGTGCGCTGCTGTTGTGAGTAAGTGACGCAGGATGGCGCATTTTCCATCTGTTCTCCTTCACACACGCCTTACGTGCTGATGCATGTAACTGCTTCGTACGTGTCTGCTGCCAGGAGTAACGCGATGGCAAGCCTGCTGGCTGCATTTGTGATGCACTTGCTTCCAAACTGATGCCACAGTGCTGCCACCGTGCTGCCACCGTGCCGCTACAGTGCGCGATTCCCCAGTGCTTGCAATCAAGACAGCTGTGAGCGCGTCGTTTCAAAAGTCACTCGACAGGCCGTCATGGGAGGGCAGGTGCACTGGTGCAGGGTGGATCGAGGCTGTTTACAGGGGCAGTACCTCGCTGTCGGCGCGGCAGGGCGCCAAGTTGCAGGTGCGCCGCAGCACCTGCCGCAAAGATGCGAACCCCGTTAGGTAGTAAGCAGGTGGCTGCGCTGAACAAGTCAATGCAGAGCTCAAGGGGGCTCCTGACACGACGAGCAGCGGTGCAGTCACCGGCGCAACTTGGCGGGTGCGCTGTCGCCGGGCGAGCGGCTGCGCCGGCGGCGGCGCGCGTGGTGGTGCGAGCGATCTCGGCTCCGGCTGCGGCTGCAGGCGGCGTCGCCCCTGCTTTTGTGCCTGCTCTTGTGGCGGCCCCTGTCGTCCTCTCGGCCCCCGCCGCGGCTGCGGCTCCTGCGCCTGCTTCTCCGCTCCTCCTCGCGCCCGCCACCGCCGCCGGCGGCCCCTCGCGCGCGGTCGCGATCGCGCTCGCGGCTGCGGCTGCGGCTGGGGCCGCGCCTGCGCGTGTCGCCGCCGCGCCCCTCTGGAGACCGGCTGCTATCGCTGCCGCCCGTGCTCCTGCTCCTGCTCCTGCTCCTGCCGGCCACAGGGCGCTCCTTGCTGCGGCCGCGGCCCCTGGATGCGCCGCGGCGCTGCCGGCCCTGCCCGTCACCGCCCCCCCGGCTGCCCGCATGCGCCGCCGCCGCAGCGCCTGCTGGCGCGGCGGTTACAGCAGCCGTGGCC